AAATCCTCGGTTCTCACGTAACTTACGAAAGCCTCCAAGGCTACATAAACTCCAGAACAATGCTCCATCAACTGAGCATGACAATGATGTTTATGATCTAATCGAGGAGATATGCCACATGAGGCAGTACCATCGTCATTCCACATAGGACACTGACCCGAACAAGACGGAACTCGTTGCCAAACTTTTGATGGATAATCTAACGACAAACCAAATTGAACCACAATTGCATGATCTGTGGCAAAGGCCAAATAGGCTCGGATTTGCATGTGCCCAAAGGCTCCTTCTAGAGTTGTTCGTTTGATATATTTTCTCAATCTCTCCATAGGAGTAAGCATTACGATAAAACCTGGACCACCCTTTCCATCAGTCATTAACGTTCCAGTCAGTTTAGACAGTCTCTCTATCATCTCATATTGCATAGCATAAGCAACATCCAATCTAGATTCTTTTTCAACATATCTATTTCCATCTGGATATTGTAATGGAAAAGCTGGAAATCCATCCTCAGCATAAAGTAACTCCTTTGGTAAAAAAGCCCGAGATTTTAACTGATCTTCTTCCTCCTTCTTGTATTGAGACTTTGGAGGAGCCGAAGCTCCTATATAAAACACCCGACACTTAAAAGCCCTAGCTAATCTTCCCAAATATTCAAATAACTTCTCAAGAAATCCATCAAAAGTTTGGAAATCTAAGTCCGTTTGTCGCTTGACAATCTCTTTAATATCGTTTGTGCCAATCCGTATATAGACTTGGTTGAATCGGAAACTCTCCTTTAGCTTGAGATCGTAATAGATCATGTCCCTCAACTCCTCAGGAGAAAATGACTGTCCATACTTAAACGCCAACCCACTCACTGAGTACTAAAAGAAAGACCAAAATAAGTAGACTTGATTGAATCGGAAACTCTCCTTTAGCTTGAGATCGTAATAGATCATGTCCCTCAACTCCTCAGGAGAAAACGATTGTCCATACTTAAACGCCAACCCACTCACTGAGTACTAAAAGAAAAACCAAATATTAATCAACAAAATCAAAAGAATTTCTAAAAATTTTGCTCAAACCTGGTAAAGCGAAATGGGGAGACCAGCGAAAAGATGCGAAAAGTCAAAGACTGGTTTTTGAGTACACTTTTCAGCTCTCACATGCCCAACAAAGGTTTTATCCTCTCCGCCAAGACGAATGTATGAGGTCAAAGAAGTTCCAATTACTATAACCTTAGGATTAGCCTCATCCAGAACAACGTCATCAGGAATCCTAGAAAGTTCCGGGGTACTATACAGCCAATCCTGAACAATACATCCAGGAACTGGTAGCTGTATAGAATCAATCCTTTCCAAATGTTCAGCTGTTAGTCCAAGTCTTCTAGCAACATTCCGACGATAACTAACTGGATCCTTTGGAGTAAATTGCTTTCCCTCCATAATCTTAGTCAAGTTCTCTACACATAGGAAAAAGATTCAAATATAACAATAACAACTCTAGTATGCTAAGAGGAATTACTAACCATCTGTAAGCCCCCCTGGAAAGAAATTAGGATTCTCCCGAATCTTTCTGCGCTTTACAGAATCTGGAACACTGGGCAAAGGCAGAGCTGATCTTTTCATCCCCAAAACTTTAACGTCTTGAATAGAATTATCCGGTCTCTCTGGAACTGCTTCCGTCCTTGATCTCTTCACCCCCGAAGTAGAAGCAACAGAGGAGTTTTCAATTGTTTTCAAAATTGACCTCAGAGGTCCAGGAGCAATTAAAGATGATGCCTTTGGAACAACCGGAGTCTGAGGAGGTTGACGTACCCCAGGAACCTTATGCTCTTTTACGAATCGAGTCATGAGATTCTCCAGTTTAGCCACACGAATAGTAATCTTGCTAGATCCTCCTCCCAGTTGAAGTACCCAGACATCCTCTGTTAACATAAAATAAATTGAAACTTGAAAATCAGAATTTTCTACCCCTTTCTACAAACTAGAAACTCTAATTACCTTCCTGAAAGACCTTGCAGGTCGGACCCTCTTCTAGCCAAACGTCGCTCAATCCCTGTAACCTTAGCAATATCGAAGATATGTCTCCTGCTGTCTTTCGCTTAATACTCCACTCCAATTTAGCAACACGAATTGTAATCTTGTTAGATCCTCCTCCCAGTTGAAGTACCCAGACATCCTCTGTCAACAAAGAACAAATTGAAACTTGAAAATCAGAATTTTATCCCTTTCTACGAACTAAAAATTCTAATTACCTTCTTGAAAAACCTTACAGGTTGGACCCTCTTCTAGCCAAACGTCACTCAATCCCTGTAATCTCAGCAATACCGAAGATATATCTCCTGCTGTCTTTCGCTTAATGCTCCCCAGAAATTCCAGAGCACTCAGGTCAGCCTCCTTCGAAGCAACTGATGCCATCTCCTTTTGAGCAGCAGCTATCTTTTTATGCTCTTCCAAATTCCCTCTCTCCTCTTCAAGATCTTTCACAGTCGATCGCAACTTCTCCAACTTAGACCGATGCTTGGCTAATTCTCGTTCAGACTCCCCAATCTCAGCTTCAAGACCTCGTTTTGCAATGTTTGAAATACTCCTTTTCTTCACCACTCCAGCAAGGTCAATCAAACTTTCCCATTCAAATGAATTCAGCTCTCGAAGAATTCCAGCCTTCTCTCTCAAATGAGACGGAACAAGAGATTCATTTATTTCACCCTGAGGCTCCATAACGACGTCATCATTTTCTGAAAATTCATCACAAAACTCCTTTTTAGGAACTCTGTCTTCATCTATCAATCTTCAAAACTCTAATAACGCTTACCATTAACACTTCGAGGGGAAATTGGCTCATCTATTATTAACGGCCCCTGAGACCCGGAATATTAGACCGATGCTTGGCTAATTCTTGTTCAGACTCCCCAATCTCAGCTTCAAGACCTCGTTTTGCAATGTTCGAGATACTCCTTTTCTTCACCACTCCAGCAAGGTCAATCAAACTTTCCCATTCAAATGAATTTAGCTCTCGAAGAATTCCCGCCTTCTCTCTCAAATGAGACGGAACAAGAGATTCACTTATTTCACCCTGGGGCTCCATAACGACGTCATCATTCTCTGAAAATTCATCACAAAATCACAAAACTCCTTTTTAGGAACTCTGTCTTCATCTATCAATCTTCAAAACTCTAATAACGCTTACCATTAACACTTCCAGGGGAAATTGGTTCATCTATTGTTAACGGCCCCTGAGACCCGGAATCATTTGGACTCAAATCTAAAAATAATCAAAATTCAAGACACATATCTCAAAAAACCATAGAAACAAAACTCACCTTGACCAGAGGGATCCATATTGAAGAATCGTAGTATTTCTCAAAGCAAAGTCCTGACTTGATTCTCACTTCCTCAATCAACACCCGACGAGTGTGAAAAAGAGCTCACGCAACCTATTTTGACGAATCAAAAAACCAAACGGAATCAATCTAAAAAGTGGCCAAGCTATTCAACCAAAACCTAAAAAGGGAAACACAATCTAGTCAAAACTATCACTCAAATGCGGAACCAATCAACGAGCATGCCAACCAATCTCCCAAGTGTGGGATCAAATCTACGGTGACCTAATCAATCAAATTGCCGGTTCGAACCTTAATACAACTATACTCTCACGAGCCTGATCAGCTCTTAACGTTAAAATCAATTCACCAAAAAATTTCTTCAACTATACATGGCCTAACTCTTGAAAACTCTGTTCAAAGATTTCTGCAGATCTCAGGAACCTCCAACTCGCAAGATGGACTCCGACAAACTGAATCACTTCAGGCTCGCACTTCTACCATACCCGTCAATTTGCTGGTACGACAACCAAGACACCCCTCGTGTTGACGTCACAACTCAACAGCTGCACCGAAATCGACGTCACATGGAGACTTTTTCGCGAGAACATTTTATTGCCTTGTTTGTTCCTCTATTGCTTTATTGCTTCGTTCCTGTTCGGAAGTAGTTTGCTCGCCCTTCTTTCTTTTCCCCTCTTCCCCCCTTTTTTGAGTAACTCAGTAAAAGTAAAAGAAGTAAATCAGCATAAAGGTTGTGACATCCTTCTGTTCCTTTGAACCAAAAAACTCGGTTCTCTGAAACAGAAGGGGGGGTTTTGTCGCGAATTTTACAGGTCTATTTTTAGCAAACGAGTTTGAGAACCCAAATTCTCGTCCTTGAGAATAAAATTCCACTTTCTGTGAGAACCTCGGAAAACCTCGGTTCTCACGCAACTTACGGAAGCCTCCAAGGCTACATTTCTCTGATAATCCTATTGCTAAATCTCGTCCTTGAAGGACAGTTTTCCTGTTTCCAAAAATCATAATGATCTACACAGTCCAGTCTCTGCTTTCGAGTGTGCGGTTACTCCGAGATTTCGCGAGCAATTTTCATCAAGTGTCATCCAATTCTCTCAAATATATCAACTTTATAATAGGGTGGTTTCACCCCGGTCGCAGCCCGACCGAATTCTCGTGTTTCATTTCTAAATTTCTATTTCAAGATTTCCAAAAGGGTTCTAAAACTAAAAATCATTATTTGTCTGGATTTATTCCTGACAATAGAAACCATTAAATCCCGAATATTGATCTTGAAAATGATTTCGTCACTCAGCACAATTTCGGCTTTCTCTTTGAAGATTATTCAGGCTCTGAGCCTGTGAAGTAATATATTGTCATTTCTGGAACCATTCAAGTTTAAATGTACATCCCACACATCCAGAATAGAGTTGTTGAAAATCTCGTTCCTTTTTAAAGTACAGTATGTCCTCATCAAGAATATAATAATATTTGTTGAAATTTGTATTTTAAAACAGTGATGCGTTGAAAAGAAAGGTGTAAGCAGCCTCATTTCGAATTTATCTGAATCCCGACGGGTGGGATTCAGGTCAGAAAAAGTTTTGTAGCGTCACTCATCAATTAAGTCTTCTCGTTCAGTTTTTGAAACATAAGTACATTTAAAGCCTTTATATGTTCACTAATCCTTGAACTTTCTTTCAGGGCCATTGACGATCCTCGGTGCCTTGGAGGGTCTATCGTTCATGAACACGAAATATCAGAATGCTAGTGAAGATTGGCCTGACATCGAATTTCACTTTACTTCCGGCACTGCGGCCTCAGATGGTGGAAGACAAATTCGTCGCATTCATGGGCTGAACAATCGGGTTTGTATTTTGCTTCATTAAAATCATGCTACCATTTACATCAATATAGGATTAAGAAAAAAAGCTGGGACATTTCTGGATTGATTTCTTGTTGGGAACGTCTATACTGTTAAATTTTTTCTTGGAATTTTCCCTTCAAGATAAAAAAAACATTTTGAAAGGCTCGAATTTGTGCATACGTGTTCCGAAGATTCCTGGATTTTTCTTTTTGGTAACGGTGAAAATTGGCAGTATGATAGTCATCGTATAAAACGATGGCTCGCCGAATCATTAACCATTTTCACGAATTTTCCCTGGGGTTTTTAATGATTTTATTAAAAAGCTAATGCAGCTGGTCTATCTTAATCAAGAATTGCCCATAATTCCTCATCTGCATGCATAAAACCAGACTTCCCGGTGTAGAATCTACACATTAATGCGATAAATCAATCAAATTTCACGTAAAAGAAAATTACTAGACATCAGGGAAATACGTTCATCATCATTAAACCTTAAACCTCGTTTTTCACAAAAAAAAACTCTAGACGTCTGGGAGATATTACGAAAAAATAAAATATAATAATTAACTAGAATTGTTGATAAACTTCCTTCTTTTGAATAAAATGAACGCCGTGAGGATTTCCCATCATGCTTGGTGGATTAAGGTACTTGAAGTACGCTTTTTTCGAGCGATTGTGAAAACAAAGGGAAGTAATCGTGGTCCCGCCTGAGGGTTACAGGTCAGAAATGTGTATTCAGCAAGAAAAAAGAAAAATATAGCATAATATTAAGATCGGAATTTTTTCGTAGAATACGTATTTTTTAATCCGAAAATATTTGAAATGCCTTCAGAGGACATGTACTTGAAAGAATTCTTCGGATATCTTTGTTACCTGCTGTCGGACAGATTTTTTTTATAGCCCCGGTCGTTGGACTTCTAATCACTCTTAAAGTAGTAGATTCTTGAATCTAGTACCGGTAATTCTGAGCAAATTGTGCCTGTATGAAGTCCTTTGAATTTTTTCTTGTTAGAAAATTTTGATTTAGTGTCCTCGAACGACATTTCAGCTCCTGCGTCTTCTCGAAGCCTTTCGAACAGTTACTTCTCTGCGTGTAAGGCTTTAAAAAGGGCCCCAGGAACACTGCGTGACATACACTACAGTACTACTGTACATTGTGTACTTTGGCATAAAAATGAGACCTGGCTTCATGCTTCCCCTTGTGGGGCACATCGTAAATACCGGGAGAATGCTGATCTGCTTTGTTGATATTTCCGCGGGTGTAATTTTGCTGTCAAATTGCGGAGGCAGCCCTTGACGTCCCGAGATGCGACCTTAATTAATGTTGTCGAGCTAAATACTCAAGTACTCATTAGTCGCAGTCTTCGAACAATTCAGTCCCTCATTAGCGGTATCGCTCTTGTGAAGACGGCTTACGGTCTTTTCTGCTATTTTCTTGGCAGCCCGCCCGAACCAGTGTATCTTATATACATACAGTGAGAACCCCACATGATGAAAATTCGACATAGGGGTATTTATTTTTCAATAAAAATGGCATAAAAAGGGCTGACATACGGACACTGATTCAGCATGAGGACATTGCATGATAAAATTGCCAATAAATATCACAAGAATGGACTTTTGTTTGGCTTGATTGCAAGAAACAGATATATTTCCAACTCTAAGATCTTATGCACAAAAAATTCTTTATAATTTATCCCATCCATTCAGCTAATTTAAAAAATTACCTATTGCATAGAAGGACTTCCTTCTCTCTTTGTTACTTTAATGTTATTTTTGTAGATGCCAACATTTCAATTTACAGTTTACAGAGGCACTATTCAATGCTCCAAATGTTCTTATTAAGTTGAAAATATATTCACTGAATCATATTCAAGTGGCAAACAATTTTTTTCATGGAATTCTGAAGAATATTTCTTCCATAGAACACCAATTAAAAATGATATAATGTAAGTCTATGGGAAAACAAGACTCAACCTAGGGACAATTCAACTTGACACTCTTCATGCACCATTTATGTCCACATCTGGGGGTCTCACTGTATATGTACAGTATATAAATATTTTTTTATGGGAATTTTTCTAAATGAATGCCACACGTTATCATCATTTTCGTACTTTCTTTTAGGTTTGGCATGAGCACTACAAGCCACTGTCCTTCAGAGACACTTGGACAGCTTTCCCGACTTTGCTGAGGCCGAAAAGCAAGGGGCTTATAAAGCTTAGGAGCAAGAATCCTCGGGATTATCCATTATTCTACCACAATTATTTAACTGATCCTGACGACGTTGCCCGATTGGTTGAAGGTAAGCGACGGGGAAAAACGCTAAAATAAACTGATTAGTAATGGTTCATCGGTCGTATCTTTCTTCTGGACCCCGTTTCCCATAAAATAAAACTGATTGCCAGATACTGTATTACTTTTAACCAAAAATAATGGGGGCTCATTTTCAGATGCAATGAGCGACAAAATCATGAACTACGATAGGACTTCGAGCTGCTTACTATGAAGGTGCAAAGTGATGTCTATTAAAAAAGCACTCAAGCTGAAAATCGTGCCCCCAACAACAGAATCGTATTATTTGAACAATTGAGTACACACTTTCTTGAAATAAAAACGAGGCAACCGTGGGGTTTCAAGCAGCATAATTGCTGATTTTAATTTCAGTTATAAAAACTTTCTTTTTTGTGTCATGTCCATTAATACAGTACTGAAATATAATTTTCTGCTGCTCCTTGAGGTGAAAAGAATTGAGCATTTGTGCTAAAAATAATTTTTGAAGGTGGGAAAATTATTAGCATCTTCATTTCGGCTGGGAAGACAGTAATTTCGAAAACGCGTTCCAAAACAAACCTTCGGCGTATGAATTTTTGATCTCGTACATATTCGAATAAGTTTAATGTACAGCGCATTAATAAAAATGTGTGCTAGGGCTCTTTGATTGAATGATTCTCATTTCTTCTTTCTTTGAGGAACACATTTGTTTTTGAAGAAGACAGAATAGTTGCTTCTTTCTTTTTGAGAAACTCCTTGCCAGTGATATTTGAAAAAAAGGGAAAGAAAATGCGGGAAAATTGCCCTGAGCACTTGCGGTCACATGTGTGCATCTGTTTCACGTTTTTACAGGGATGAAATTAGTCGTGCAGATGTCGGAAACGAAGGCGTTCCGGAAACTGGGCACTCACTTGTACACAAAACCATTTCCGGGATGCGAACACCACGTCATCTTCTCCGACCCGTATTGGGAGTGCCTTGTCAGACACTACACGGAGACCATTTATCATTATTCCGGCACAGCGAAAATGGGTCCATTCTGGGATCCCGACGCTGTTGTCGATCCTGAGCTTAGGTACGCAAAAAACTTGATTAAATAAATAAAACATTCCGATATTTGTCTGTGGCATGCTTTTGGCGATTGAAAAAAGCCATCATTTTGCGTCGATTCCGCGCTTTTCCTCTACGAACTTTGCATCATCTGCGTTGAGATCGAATAGTGCAGAATTCACTAAAAGGGAAAAATTCGCCAACGGGAAACTGACCTGCAAAATTTGCATTTTTGCGGAAGTCTTTTGGAAAGTACGATTGAAGTGCCAAAATTAAGTTTTTTGAAGCTTTTATGTGGACCCGGAACGGCACGAAAAAAATATAGCGTAGAAAAAATAATAAGGGACCAAAGCAACAATGAATTCAGCATCATAGTGTTTTTAATTCATGGATTGAAAATCAATGTTCGTATTCTGTAAAAAGTGCAAGTGATGAATGTTTTCATTGAATTCCGGGTCGGGATGTTTACATTCTTTACGATCCATGAAATTTTGTATGCTTGAGGTTTTCTGTCATGCTTTTTATTCTACAGTATAATCTTTTGTTAGGTTCTTCTTTTGTCCCTTGCCTTAAAAATTGAGGGTTTTTTAAACTAACTTCATCAAAATTCTTCGCGACAAAAACTCGAACCATTTCGGGGTTCTGTTGAATCAACTGTCTTCAATTTTTCTTCTTCGAATTTTACTCTTTAGTCTTTTTGATGCGTTTCTGAAAATAAGAACTTAAATGTTTCTCGTGATATAACGAATTCGAACACAGAATTTCCATTTAACCGAGGGGGTGATGGGTAAAAAATGCTGATGCATTGAATACTGTCCTTGAACTTCAAGCTTATACAGCTTCACAGTTGGTTCACTTCGAATGTTTTCCGTTATTTTTGGCAGGGTGTATGGAATCAAAGGGCTGCGAGTAGCAGACTGCAGCATCATGCCGATCGTGATCTCGGGCAACACAAATGCCCCAGCAATTATGATTGGCGAGAAGGTGTCAGACATGATCAAGTTAGACTGGGGATACGTTCGGTGACGTCAGCGAGTGCTTTAAGTCTCGCAGCATTCCTGAAATTAAATTTTCATTTCATGAGTTCAAAACGCAATTTTTTTTTCTTTCGCGCAATGCCAAATTTGACTTCATCTTTGATTGATTGATTGTCGAGTGATCAAAGTTTGTTGTGCCAAAATTCCCTTTTTCTTCCCCCTTTGACTGTTTCCGTCTCTTGTTTTTTTTTTTTTGTGATGAGCTCGCGTTACGGGTTTGATATATTGACGACGAAAAGACGCGTGGTCCGTAAAATTGACTGAAAGGGCTTGAACATTTTCAAAGTGCATGATGAATTTTTTGTTTCTGCTGTGGAAAGAGTTCAGACCAACAAGATGCGTAACACTTTCTTCCAATTATCGGGTAAAGCTGTTTCCGTGCGACACTTCTTGGCAAAAACTACCTCAAGCGCAGTTTCTCACCTCTTAGGAATTGGTGATGGAAATTCTTGAAGGTTTTGTTCCCAGGCAAAAAAAAACCTAAGATTTAATTTTCCAATTGAAAAGAAAATGTTTGAGTTGAGGTGGGACCACGGTTGTGCTGTGGCTCGGCCAGCTTGTCGAAATCTAGTCAATTTTGGCCATGAATCGTTTCAATGCTTGTGGCGATTACCATGTTGCAGTGTTGTCATGCATATTCCCTCAGGAGCTGAGTCGCTCAATTTGTTTGTTTTTTTTTATCTAGAAATGTATGAACGAAACCTAAGTTGAGTTTTCCGAAAGCTTCTCAATCTTCAAGCGTTTTTCAAGCATACTACCACCTAGGAAAAAAAGCAATGTAGAAGAACTGAAGTAAAGAAAAAAACGTACATTTAATCTCAGGAAATGCAGATTGACAGAAAAAATAAAGTTGAATCATATTTCGGGCGGACTCGATCAAGATTCGTTGTGTTTGCAGGTGATGAGCATTCCAATATCGCCAATTTGTTTTTATATCGCTATTCATCGTGTGCTGTCATTGTTTTTGGCGAACATCGAGGTTACTATCGAAAAAAAAAGTGATAAATTCGAGCGGCTTAATTCACTTGATTGCTGTAATTGTCTTTGTATACGCCATAAAGAACGTGCTCAAAAAAGGTTGTTGTGTGGTTTACGTTGATCGCTTTCGTGCGGTGTTTGTTGTTTGGTTTATACATGACGATGCCCTTGATTGGGAAGAAGAATGAACGGATATATTGCGGTCTACTTGATTAAGTTTTCTTTTTTTTTTCATACCAAACCGAATGTTGAGGTGGGAATTATCTGCCTCGCGTTCCACTTGATTATTCCCAGCATATACGCATGTAAAAACATTGTGCCATAAAAAATCGATTGAAAACTGCATGTGCCTATACAGTATGTTATCTTTAGTATCCTGCTCGGGCAAGTGCACGAGAATTACGAATAAAATGGGTCATCCTCAAGGAACAAATGTCCTGAGCAACGAACTTTTAACATAGCGGCCACCATTCGCCATAGAGAACAAATTTGACTTGAGGAACGAGCCTCGAAACAAGGAAAAATCCTTGAACAAAACCAAAATTTGATGCGAAAATTTGAGAAATTTGGTTATGAAAAATCTGATTTCATTCTCATGGGAGAATTCTGGGGGAAAGTGGAAAGCAATTTCTAATCGAAAGGGAATTTTAATGCCATTTCTGCTCCCAGTATTATCATGCTACGAATAATTTTTAAAATTGTTAAATTGTTAGTTGATGTTATTCAATTGTTATCATATTCCTTTTCGAAGAAATTATTTTAATTTTACCATAGTAATCTGGCAGGAACGAATAAATTAATGTCCATGAAGGTTACTATGGAAAATCCTGACTTGAACACTGGAAGTTTTGACTCTTTTTAGCACAAACCAGTCGCTGTAATGGATTAGTTTTTCTGCTCGAGCCTCCAATGAAATGTGTATGTTGGTGATATAAAGTTTTGCATGCAATTCTTTCAGGATAACACGAACAACTGTTCAATGGGGCGATTTAAAAAGCCGAATTAAGGCTACTTTTAAGGGATATTTTCAAAATGAAAAGATTGGAGTCTACGAACTCTCCCTGCACAACCAGCAATAAGAACATCAAAATTTGTTCTCTTTTCTTACACCTACTGTGTCTTACATAACTTACTTTACCTCGACACCTAAACGTATACCCTTCACAAAGTTTTCGTCCTGTGCATTCGGTCTGTTCTGTTCTATGAATTCGAGGATAAAAGTCACTATTTCAGATGGATTCCTGGAACGATCGGGATCATTTGCATAAGCCAGTGACGATGGCAAAATTGAAAGGGAATTCCGGAAAGACCTCACTTGAATTTTTCAGACGACGATCATCCACAGACAAATTTCGAGGGGCGCTTGAATGTCGCAAGCAATGTTCCTGTGAAGAATGTCACGATGTTTATTTGAGCTCGAAAGCCGCAATCCGAGTCGAGAATTCTTTGATGAGTTTGGCTGAACATCGATCGCATCCGTTGATGAGGTTTGGCTTATTTTAGATTTTCACAAAATACAGGACGAAATTCCATGATACTCACGCGTGGTTGCTGTTGCATGAATGAGGAAACTTTTTTTTATGGTATTGCATTTTTAGCGTTTGCTTGTGAAAGTTCGTTAATAATGCATGTGTCCCTGCTGTTTAGTCTCTATATAAAAAACTATTCCATAATGCCAGCATGATATTGGTTATGTTGCTGGCAATAACTAAGTAGATCGCGATTATCCTTACGTCCAACATATTTTTTACAAGCTCAAACTTTAGCCCAAAATATGTCTTTTATTTAAGTTTTTGGCGACATGGTACTTACGGTGCTATTCGAGTCATTTTATGCAGTACTTGAAAATAAGCATCTTCAAAGAATATTTTCCACTGATGAGGGTTGTTTTCTTCTTTATTCTGGAACCCTGCTATCCAAATGTATGACGCAGATTTTTGTCCTTTTATCATATTCGATAAGCCTCGGTTAAAGAGTTTCAAAGTTTTTTCAAGCATTAAAGTGTAAATCGTCACTTCATACGTTGAGTTACCGTATTTACTGGATCATACTAGAATTTAGAAAAGTGGCACTTGAAATTTTGTGCACGTACATACCTAAATATGAAGCGCTCTTTTTTCCAAATAAATGGATTAGGTGTGCGTAATAGTTGGGTATAAAATTTCACGTAACATTAAAAAAATTGACATTTTTCTTCTTACTATCAATTTTTTCAGAGTTCTCAATTTTAATTACAGTACATTATAATTTGCAGGAAAAAATTGTAAGATTGGAGATTTTTGTAAGATTCCGTCTAAATTGGTCCGCTTAAAGTTTCTCCGATGACCCATAATGAATTTCAGAAAACAGGAAAAAATCTGCAATATACAGCTTGAAGCGCAAACAAATTTGCCATGCCTGAAACTATGCTCATAATCGCTGCGTTAACTTTAAAAATTCGAGATACGTGGATTTTGTATATGTTCGTTACAAGGCACTGTAAACCTGGCCAACCATGTGTTATGCAAAAGTAACGCCGAATTCCATTGCATAATCTTAATACACTGCTATATATCTAAATCTTAATCACGTGAAAACGTGAACGGATAACTATACATTAATCTTTTTCATACTGAAGCAGATTCATCCGTATTTCAGAAAGGTTTCAGAAGCGGGTGGACTTTCCGGATCAAAGCACTCATCGGTTGCCAACGGAAAATATTTCAGCTTTGAACCTCTGATTTCACCTCAGTCCTCTGCTTCCTCCGTTACAACAGTTTCTGATCATCTCGAAGACCCGTTATTAAAGGGAGCAAACTCATCACACACATTCCTTCAAGAAACTCGAATAAGTCGCCGACAATCAAGGGGCAGCATCAATCGTCGCTGGGTATCTTGTCAACGGATCGCATGCTTTTCACCAACAACAGATGTCGCCGACTACGCAGTTGATCATCATAAAATCCCATCAGCAGGTTCTGCGGAGTCAGTTGCAAGCTTGACGTTTTTGTCTGACATGATATGGAAACAGAGTGGAGTTGAACCAGAAGACGATTTGAAAAACCGAGCTTCTCAGGATTCGATGCATGTGATGGCCGCATTAGAACCAGACTATGGAGGATGCTTGAATAATCGAAAAGAATCGTATTCCGTTGATGAGAACGAAAATGAGGAGCACGTAAAACAACCCGGATGTCTGGCTTTCAGGATTTTAGCTTGGCTTTTTTGGCCAGCGATTATGATTGGAATGCAATTGTTGAAGGATATTCGGCAGACGAGGGTCGATAGTTGGCGAGGAACCCAGTTTGTCTGTTTGTACGGGGGTTTCGGGGGATTTCTAGGAGTTCCGATTGTTGGCCAAGAGGTTTCCTCTGGTGAGGTACAATCCGATGCAGCATCAAATGAAGGAAGGAGCTGCGATGAAGATTTTGTCGATGAGACGCCGTAATTGACAAGTAAAGTACCGTAGTTTTAATTTATTTGCGTGAACTCGAGTTTCTTTCAGAGAGGAATCATCGTGTGTAGCATTAGTGACATCTTTGATCCAATACATTAACTATTCGATCAGCTTCGTGTGGGTATTTTAACATTTTAGATGTCTCATGCTAGGGATTAACTATATCAACAACAATCTTATTTACTGTGATTCTCTCCGCATTAAGAATTTTACTAAGACGATTTTTTCTGTTATACAGTACTTTTAATATCGTTGGGACTTGGGAGAGTCCAGCACCTGATGTTCACGAGTCAGCTGAAGCTGAGTGCGTTGAAACTCTGAGGGCCTTGAGGTTCTTTTCTTTCTTGTAGATGTCGCCAGCTGTTTTCGATAAGAAAAACGGAGCTTACTTCTCAGCCGAACATTTGTGTTTCTTCGCCGATGCCTTTTTTGTATACTAATGTACTCCTTTATAAGTCACTCATGTGAAAATAAATCATTGAAACAAACAAATCTTGCACACTTGCTGTGATATGTGCCATTGTCGTGCGTATTTTTTGAAAAGGTGCCTCTCCCGATTTTTCGTTCAACCGGGAGAAGAAATAATTTTCTCCAGTTTAAGTTCATGTCGCTCACAAATGCACTACAATTGAAAATAAAGTACACGTTCAGGACGAGAATTAAATGCGGTATGAATATAAAATATTTCCTGGTACTGTAGTGCATTACTATATGCTGTATTCAATGTCAAATGCGAAATAGATAAAAAGCGTTTTCGCAGCCCTTTTCAGAGCCCAAATTAGTTGAAACCCAATACTGTACAGTATTTTACTTTTATTCCATTGAAATGACAGTCCCTGTCTTTGTGGGTAAAGAAATTCAATTATGGCGCGTAATGACAGAAGTTATATGGTGCTTTTCGACCCAATAATCTTTTGTTGTACATTTTACATCAAGAACAGTTAGAAAATATTTATCAGACGAAACTACCAAGTGCATTTG